GGTGCACCATCAAACACATGTCTTTTCACATAAAATGTGAAAACTTTTTTTGTAGAATTCTACTGTTATTTTTAATCATTGCTTTTTTGGAAGATAAGTGTGGCTATCTACGGTTAGCATGCTAAATACATTTGAAGCTGGGTACCAATGGCTGTAAACGTATTTATGATGTGTTTGTTTTTGCTTTATAAATTGGACCGTGTGAGTTGATCTTCACATTGTTTTGTTTCCGGCAGTCAGAGCCCATCTACATGCTAGTTCCACTGGATTTGCCCAGCGCTAACGAGAAGATATCCAACATGAAGCGAGCCATAAATGAATACATAGCTGAGTACAGTGTGTGCAAGTGCAAGCCCTGTCACAATGGTGGTACTCTGACGCTGCTGGATGGAAAGTGCATCTGTCTATGCTCCAACCTGTTTGAAGGCGAGGCCTGTCAGAATTTTAAGGGCGATAATGCCAAAAATTCCGGTCAGTAACCCACTGAGTCATCTCTTAATAAGCTGTACTGACACGGGCCAAATCATTTGACTAGTTTTTTGTGTTAACTTAAACTTTATTTTGTAGGCACAAGACCAAATGTTTCTCAGGAAGGAAACTGGATGTGCTGGTCTTCCTGGTCAACCTGTAGTGGACTCAAACGCACCAGGTCCCGTGGTTGCAACAAAGACGGGCTGAATGGAGCAGCACGTTGCAGAGGTGACGGGACCAGCGAGGAGTTCTGCTAAATTGTTACAGGATGATGCTAATACACAGCGATACGTCAGAAGATTACAGTCGTTTTGTCTTCAAGGGCATTTTTGTCATTGTGAAATCAGGAGAACAGTGCCACCCAGAGGTCTATACCAGGCAACGCGTTCATATAATTGTAATTTTTTTTTTTAATTTTCTGAGTCTTTAATGTAATAGTGACCTGTGCATTCATGATATCAGTTGAGAACTGACAAGTATTTGGTCGACTGTATATGAGTTCACCTGGTTTACCTCAGTATTGCAGCAGAAATGAATCTAATAAATCCACTTCTTGTGACTGTGGCCTGTTTTAATCTTTGTGTTATCTGTTTCTTGTTAGAGAAAAAGACTCAACATGTCACATTACATCCAGTCAAAAGTCATTTCTCAGCCTACTTTAATCAGATCAGTGCTACCTCAGAAACTGCACTTTTTTGCCAATATTTTTTTAACCTTAAAATGGAGGCAAAAAGACTCTGATTTGTCTTGACTCCTCGAACAGCTCTCAGCCTTGGTCTACAGAAAAAAAGCGTGGGCTGAAGTATGTATTAATGGTCTAATAATTCATCTTTAAAAGCACAGACACATTCCATCTCACTCTGCTGTGCAAACAAGAACCAGATGAGCTGGGGCCGACTGGACAAGGAGAGAAGTGGACGAGAAAGACAAAAACAAGGCCTGAAGGACAATATGAGGAGAGAAGTGGACGAGAAAGACTCGGGTGTTGGACAAAAACAAGGCCTGAAGGACAATATCACGGAGAAGACAAGGGTAGGATATTCACTGTTCCACTGAAACAACTTTGACACCTTAACATAAACACACTTAGAAAGTGATGCTGCCCTCTAGTCCTGATACTGATCATTGAGCCATCTTAAATGCTTTGGATAAAATAAATTGAAGACATTTAGATTAGAGTTGGTGCATCGGTTCACTTTTATGGAACAAACATCTGTTAGGATGCTTTTTTTAAGGATATTTTATTAGCCACATGTCCATCTCTATGCTTAGTGAACCTGTAAAAAACCTTATGTCCTGAGTCCATGTGATTTATGAACTAATTCCCTCTGGGTATATCACCTGCTGTCGTCACGTTAACAGAAAAAAAAGTGTTAGCGAAGTTCTACCGATTTCACGCATATGCATGAGTGAGGGGCGGGAGGAGAGGGGTGATAAATGAATGAATGCTTGAGGAGTAACCTCTGGGGGTGGTGGCCCCTGGCCTTTGGGGTGTCAGCATAATGGAGTAAAAGTTTGAAACCTTATTGAGCTCCAGGGAGACCCCATTCAGTCCAAACAGAGACCCAGCCCCAGGCCATTATCTTAGCCCAAAATGTTTTGTTCTTTCTTTGGTCTCAGATGGAATCGTTAGCACAAAATAATGAACCCCGCTCCATCGATTGACTGCCCCATTGTCTTTTCACTAATATTTACTTACACTTCAGACTTAGAAATGAAGCCGAAATGTCCAGAAACTTCATTGTCCAAATGTCCAGAAACTATCATTTGTGGAATATACAAAACCACCTATCAATGCGTACTCCAAAAACATACACTTTGTTTGTGCTCAGTAGAACCACAGAGAAGTTATATCTATACCTAAAACATTTTTGAAATAAGTGCTTTAAAATGTCTTTTAAATGTGCATGTTTTTATCATTGACCTTTTTCATTTGCTGCTTTAAAAACTAGTTTCTCACAGGCTGCAAGAAACTGCGTTTGCTTTTCAAATGCTTTCCATTGTCGCCTCATCTCATAAACATATAGTGCTCTCAGTGAGGAAGAGGTAAGGGATATAGTTTTTAACAAAAGCCCTTAGAGAGTGTGAAAGGAGCCCCCTTACACTTCTAAATGCGTGGTCACAGTAGGGATTGCCCCCTCCCCTCTTTCCTGGGTCACTAAAGGCATTGATGATTTTAAGGGCTGCTAAGGCAGATTACTCCACACAGCTGGCCCAGCACCGTGGAAATGAAGTTATGCCCCTTGTCAGCTACGTTTTCTCCCACCTCCTCCTCCCTATTCCCTGAAAACTTTGTACCACTGCTCTTTGCCTGGGCCTGTGAAAGGAGACATGGGAGGTGCCCATCAGACTATGGCTATACCCTGCCACGGCTGATAGAGAAAACCTATGCTGATTGGCCCAGTAAATATTCCCTCTGTGCACCATCATTCAGAGGGGATTGAGATCCCTGACATTCAACCCAGTCCTTTCTCCACAAAACACTCCCTTCCCCCGTTAACCCCTAATCATAAATCAGCCCTTCCTCCACCTTTCCCACCTCACTAAAACCAGGCTGCAGCCTTAATCAAGTCCACCCCCTGAACCCCAAATATTGTGGGACTTTGGTGTCTATGTAATTTGCAGTAGCTTAATTTTGTTTAAAAGAAAGTGAAATTTTAAACATAGTAATAGTATATAATGGTATAGTATAGTATAGTATAGTATAGTATAGTATAGTATAGTATAGTATAGTATAGTATAGTATAGTATAGTATAGTGTAGTATAGTATAGCATAGTATAGTATGGTGTGCTATGGTATAGCATAGTATAGTATAACATAGTATAGTATAGCACAGTGTTATAGTATAGTATAGTATAGTATAGTATAGTATAGTATAGTATAGTATAGTATAGTATAGTATAGTATAGTATAGTATAGTATAGTATAGTATAGTATAGTATAGTATAGTATAGTATAGTATAGTATAGTATAGTATAGTATGGTATTGTATAATATACCCGTAGTTGAATTGAATAAAGATAGAGTATAGTATTAGCATCAGGAATTCTCAGTTTCATCATCAACATCATCATGTGTTCTGCTGCTGTGTCATGGGGAATGACATAATCACAAATCTGATCTAATCTAATCCAATACAACTAGATCTAATCCCATCCAGTCTAATCAAAATGAACCTAATTCAGTCTAATCTAATGTAATCTAATCTTTGTACATACTGTTAATTATTCTCTAATTGCCGTGCAGAGCTTAGTTAAATTGATGAATTATACCTTTCGTGACACATGAACTACTAAATAAATGCATTAAACTCCATTTACCAGCTACAAACCTCAGACATACAGATAGTCACAGCTGGAATGGTCTTGAATTGTTTTTGCAGACATGCAGCAGAAAATCATTCTCATGCCAACAATTTCTATGAATCATAAGATCTCTGGTAACCATCACATTATAATCAGATGCCTGATTTTCGTTGCCAGAATCTGCTCGACTCAAAGTCTGTAAAAAATGAACTCCTTGCTCCGTGTCTTTGTCTTATCCACCTTTCAGCATCTTTCTTTGAGTTCACATCAGTCTACAGAATTAGACGCAGCCCTCTTTATTTCAAGACCCGGGAATTTCCAAATGTGCTCATGAGGAAAAAACTCTGTCTGGTGGCTGAGCTGTTTTAAAATGTTTTGCAATGTTCCACAGGGACTGTGAGAGGAAAGGAGTCATTTCAGCTGCAGTGGAACTGAGAAACAGCGACTGATGCAGAGGCCGTGAAGGAGACCCAAGTAGTTTTACCCTCCTGACATTTATGTGGAAAATTTAGATGGTCCTTCAGTACGCTGGGCAAAGTGATGGAAGCCGTTAAAAAGTAGTCGCCATCGGGAACATCACTGGTCTGATTTAATATATTGTCCTATGCTGTGGTTTTTATTGTTTTCTTCCAAGTTAAACCTGCAGAGGTTAAGAGATTTGGGACGAAGTAAAGTTTAGGTTGTCCAAGCAACTGTTTGACTTATGATGCGGCGATTTTAATGAGGTTCTAGTCCCTGTACGTTTGGCCCCAGTCGCAACATTCCTAATTTCCTCTGGTGCCGAAAGTTAATTGAAAACATTTCAAGAAAAAGTATCGTTTGGGGCCCCCTGTGTGACTCTCATCTAGCCATTATCCTCAACAATAATAAAAAGGCATTACAATTATTAATAGTTGGAGCAGAGGCCTCCGCTCTTAAAGAGACAGTGCTGGGCTTTCAGCTCTCATGACAAAAGGCTGGAGAAATGCCTTTGCCACATCACTCTGTTAGTCTTTACTCAACAATAACTGTCAGGGGTGGGATTTATTTTATAGTCTGTATGTTTTTCTAAACGAACCCGTGATAAAAAAGAGCTTAGAACCAGAACTTTATTCTGATAACCTCAAAGAGAAGAGAAGTCATTTTTTGAAACAACTATTTGTAATTGAGAAGCTCATTGGTCTGCAGAAAAAAAGCTGGAATTTTTCCATTCCGTTTCCTTAAGGAAAACTGTCTGCTCACTGTTGCTCCCCCCACGCCCTGTACAGGGTGACAGGGGAACAGTGAGGATGAAGTGTCTCCACATTGTGCAGCCGTGCTATTGTGCATTTAACATCTCCATAATAGAGGTGCCACTCGACTCCACTTCCTATCAATGGACTGATGGGCCCATCTCTTTAGTTTGAAAAGCAACATGGCCGCCATTAATGGTCTCAAGGGCCATCATCACAAATCAACGAGAGGGCGTTGTTTTGTTTTTTTTTAACTCAGCAAATTCTTCTGTTTTCACGGTATTCCAAAATACTTTAATAATATATCATTATTACAACGAATACGTAGTTGTGATTTTGATATAAATATTCTCCTACTTCCATTGATGGTATATTTCCTATAAAGTTTCTCACATCTAATTAAACTTTTCCAGACCTTGAAAGACCTTAAATGTTTTATTTATGCTTTGTCTTTGTTTGGTGAAATAAATAAATAAATAAATGTTGTAAAATGTAGGATGTAGCAATGATAATACAAACTAAAATTCATATCAGCCTTACAATATTAACTTCATGTCTTAATGTATGAAGAGGAGTCAAATGTTCACTCATTATCACTAAAACCTTTAACGGCTAAGTATGAATCTTGTCAAAAAATGTTATGTAGCACTTTCATTTGTTTTTAATTTAACTTGTAAACGATTAATCTTCCCGCTTCTGGCAAACGTCTATAGATGGAAAAACATGCATTTAACACACCATAAATATGCCTGTTGTAGCAGATTGTAGTAGATTTGTAAAACTAAAAATGGGTGATAATTGTTTTGAAGTTGTTCCAAGTCCTACAGACTGCCCTGTTGAAGGACTGTTGTTAAAGTTAATAAATGGGACTAAATAATAAAAGCAGAGGAAACTGTTCCGCTCACAGAGTCGCTGTGGGTAAGGTTTCTAACCAGACACTTTACTATCGCACACATGGTAAAGGAATAAGCCTACTGTGAGCAGAGACATGTTAAAAACCACATAATGCTCTGAAATGATTGCTGTATGGTTTTAATAACACTGTGTAGAATATAATGTCCAATCCCTTCAGCAAGTCCTGGGCATGAATCACCACATGGGTTCATTATAAAAAACACACACACATTGAGGAAAAAGAATATGCTGCCGTGATAATAATGGCTTCTTTCTGTATGTGATTAAGACATTTACCACAAGTTAAAATCTTGAGAGAAAAAAACACAAACAAACTTAAATAGGCTAATTTATTTATTTTTGATTAGATGTTCAGAGAATCACATTTATTCTCATTTACGACTTCAACAGATGAGTTAAAGTAAACTGATTTAACACATTTGGAGTCATTTGTGCTGCTAATCCCCAGCAGGTGGAGCTTAGCTTCAGTTTAGCTTCACCGTAGCTTCAGTTTAGCTTCCTCCGCTCTGTTTGAACAGCTCCCAGGGACTAACAGATTAGACCTAAGGCAAACATCCGTGTTTACAAGGTCAAGTGTGTCTTTCTACCGAGATACATTTTTGGGCACGAACATGCCCGCAGTTTAAGAAGGGATTCGGTGGCTTATATCAACTTTGGTTTTTAATGAAGGGGTTGTGGAGAAACCCTCAGCACATGTGGGAAAACGACTTTCACAGATTTGGCCATTTACTGCTTAACAAAACAGAACAAAACATGGCGACTGTCAGGCACTTTAAAATAATAATAAAATAACTTTCTCCTCTGTGGACACAACGTGGGACTCAACTGCAGTGCAAATCTCTTTAAATTATATTTTATACAATATACTTTACCATTGACTCTGCCAACATAGCTTTATGTTGCATCTACGTAAGAAACAAATGCCAAATTGCGCAGACTGCTAAAGGCATGTTTAAGTTGTTCTTTCATTATTATTATTTTAATGGCAGGTATGACTATTTGAAATTTTAGTGTACTATACAAAACAAAACAGAAAAAAAGAAGCATTTGTCACACAAGTGTGGCAAAAATCAAAATGGTGCTCAGGAGTTTGGGGAAACTCTGATAAAGTGTGGAGCTACTAGAGTTCTCCACGCATATGTAATCCTCCGGTTCGACGTAATCATCCTCGTCGTCCTCTATGTCCGAGAATCCGCTCCCCGCGAACCTGTCGCTGGAATCAGAGCAGAACGTTTTCATGCTGACCTTGATGTACTCACATATGTTCCTCTCCGTGCCGTCGCACACACATGTGTCCAGCTGCTGCGCCTTGGGGATCGTGCGCATGCTGGCTATCACCCTGCGGCAGCTATCCGAGCACTTTTCTCCTCCGAACAGTTTTCGGCAGTGATATAAATAATCCCTCATAGCACCCCTGCAAGACGGGTCCATCTCGCACTGCCGCCGAGCCTCAGTGCAGCCCATGTTGCTGGCCCGCGGCAGGCACGGCTCGATGGCTTGTTTGGTGCTCCTGCATACAGGGTCCTGGGCGCAGTCGCAGTCCTCCAGAGCCGGGCCGCTCTGGGTTAAGTTGAGCTGGATCAGAGAAGAGATGCAGTGGCTGGGACACTTCTTGCGTTCCCCGCTGAGGACAGGCGAGCAGGCGTAGAGGTACTGGTCGTACGCGTAATGGCACTCCGGCTCTCCATGACACTTGAGGATGGCTTTCCAGCAGACCAGCCGATGGGTGTGTTTGGGAGCTCCGTACACACATAAACAGTTGGTGAGAAGCAACACACTGCATATGGAAACCAAAGCCCGCTCCATCAACACGGCACGAGGTGCAAATTCCAGCGAAAATCGATGTTAGCGTCGGACTCCAGACGCCTCTGTACTCCCATCACGCTGCGTAAAAGCTGTTTCCATGTAACCGTTTCATATCATCCCCGAGTTAATGGCTTAAAAATCACTCTCAGTAGGAGCCGATCAGTCTTCACAGCCTTCTCTGTTGAAACTGGTCCACATAGATGAGTGAAAGGCTCCGAACTGAGACATTTCTGCTGAAAGCGCAAACTTATCCAAAGTTTTTCAAACTGCTACAAAGTCACTGGTTCACTTTCACCCGCTTCCAGTGGAGGCAGAGGTTTCTGTGATGCGGGCTCTCTGCTGATGGGCTGATTAGGTTCCTGCAACTGCCGCGTCCCATTGGTCCGATAAGCTGTTGTGATTCTCTCGTCACGTGCGCACCGTGACGTAGGCCAATGTTTTTTTTCGTTGCGATGGGAGGGGGCGGTGAAGGGGTGGTCGATGGGCGATTATGGAGAAAACAATAAAAAGGAATTCACTTGTTGCAACAGCGGCTTGAGACGGGAACCACAAGCCACTCATATTAAACAAGACACGGACGCTTTTATTTTGTGTTCAAACAGGATTCTCCGTCTCAGTCTACTCTGTGCAGCGTTTGCCTCCTTTTTATTTTGTAGAAACTCTACCTCTAATCTACCAGGAAGATGAAGTTTCTGAGATCCCATATATGGGGTTGTCATGACAGCGTCTCTTATCTTAGGGTGAGAGGTTTGTGCATAAAGTACAAACCGTATGTTCTGTCTCAAAGTTCACAACAACAACTAAACCCATACAAGCGTACCATGCGGGCTGCTTCTTCAGAGGATTCCGGTTCGTTTCCCTCTCCAGGCATATCTGGAGTGTCTGATTGGATGTTGTACTTCTTTTGTAATAAACTATATATGTATATATAAGCCAGATGGAGATTGCTTTATCATCAATAAACAACAACTAGAATATTCAGCATTTTATTTTAATGACCCACATAAAGTATATTACGTACTAGCTTTAACTCTATAAATTGGGATAGACAATTTTATTATTTTTGGCTGATATTGACGGTATGGTACTTTAAAGTTCAAAGATTCAAATGATATGAAATGAGATATTTTACTGCATGAATTAAAAAACTGATTTTTTTTTAACCCATTCAGTGATCTGTATGTCACTTCCTCTACGGAGGATAACATGTTTTCCATGTTACATTTTTAAACACACACACGTTACCAGATGCCTTCACACCACACGTGTTAAAAACAGCACATCAGGCTTTTATTGTATCCTCATTTAAGTGTTGGCAAACTGTGCTTTTGTGTGCCTCACCTTTTGGTGAAGGAAATGTCCTGTTCTTATCAACAACTGTCAACAGGAAAGAGCTCGAAAAGTGTGAGGAACAACAGCAATCGCGGCCTTAGCGTAAACACACTGCAGCAGGAAGGACCAAAGGTTGGTTCCAGGTGGAACCATGTGACCATCGAAACCCAAAACAGATGAGAGAGAGGGACTGGGTCAGTCAGGTACTTCACCGTACTGTGATCACTAACGGCCTGCAGCATTTACAGACAAGCAAAAACAGAGATTAGACTGTAGTCAAGACAAGTGCAGGGTATTTTCTTAGTCTAACAAATACCAGAGTGTCGCCCACCTCCCCCATCACCTTCCTTCCTCCCTTCTACAAACCCACCCCATCGCCCCCCCTCTCTTCCAGCTGACATACCAGAACAACAGGCCCTGGCTGGAGACTCAATTTAGCGCGACATCAAAGTAGTTTTTGAAAAAAAAACACAAATGGTGAACTGGTCAAGGGGGGAAGCATTAACAAAAACGGAGCGGACATCAATGAAGGCCAAAACACACACACACACACACACACTGATTGAAAGGATCAGGAGGAGGTTGTGAGTTAATGTTCTCACTACACGACAGTCCATGGGAAGTACTCCGAAGCAGAGTTGTAGCACTTCATCATGAACTTAAAGTCGAACCATTATGGACTCAGCTTCACCTACACTCCAGATTTTTTCTGGACTCTGATTTGGAACACTGCATTCCTGATTTACTGACTCTACTTAAGCGACTCTGGAGTCTTTTGGTGGACTCTGATCTAAACCTTGAAGAAATGACTCACACCTGGACTCAAAGACTTTAAACTTTAATCATTGAGTTTTGTTTAACAGATTATAGACAATCTGTGAGTAACAACAGATGTAAATAAATATATATGATACCACTTTATAATAACTGTATGTCAGGTGACTGTAGTAGGTTCTCAGTCATCCAAAAAGGCTTCTTCACTGAACAACCCTCTTTGGATAAGAGGTGAAACTTCTTCAAGAAACCTTCTCCTTCCAGTAGCCCTCAATGTAATCATTTTTGAATGTCAGGTTTACGTGAAATGTTATTTTTCTGTATTTTTATTGTGGATTTAGACAGAAGTTTTATCTACCTACAGTATCTATCTATCAGGACCAGGCCGTGCTTGTATTTCATTTTTACAGGGACGTCTTAAAGAACCGCAGATCTAAAATCCCATCATCCAGACTAGAACAACAGCCAGATCAGCTGTGTGTGATGGAACAGGCAGCTGCTCTCCCCTCACTGCACCTCTTCAACTGCTCTAATACATTCCATATATTTCTATCAAACTTTGCACAGAGTCCGGGGTTAAAACACAAAGTCCTGTGTTTTTAAAAGGAACATGCAGCTAAGCATCTTTCACATGTAGTTTTTTTTTTACGGCCACTTGAACGACTTTGAGAGGGTTTCCAGAAGTGGAATGCGGTTCCCGAGAGAAGATTTGTAAATACCCATGCAGAGTCAGACATGCTCCTCAGTTTGTCTCCACTGCTGTCAGAAGTCATTACACACAAGCCGCACTGCCAGAACAATTCACTGAACTTAGTGTTTCCAAGCCCAGCAAGAGAGAAAGAGTGGGAGGGAGAAAAGGAGGAAAAGAGCTAAAGGGGGGAGGGTGTTTTATTATTTTTACCCTGGTAAATGGAATCATCATTGTCCTAGATATTTGTTTAGTCATTCTTCCTTAAACAAAATAGGAGCTGCATGTTCATAATTGAACAAAACCTTTTATACGTTTATTTTGCCTTGAATGCCATTCTCAGCAAATATATGTATATTTTGAAACACAACCAGTACATAAAGAGTCAACACTCAACAGTCAACCTTGTTAATGGTGTGAGATTGAAAAATTAGGTTAAACACCTAAAAAATTAAACATTTCTTGAACTTATTAGAAAGTATAACTTCATGAGGTGTGATGTCGAATTAAGTATAAATAGAAGATTACATTTCTTTAAATTTATACTATATTCGAGAAATCAGTACGCAAGTACTAGAGTTCAAAAAAAGAAAGAAAAAACCCATGGTCAAAAACAGACTCTATTTGCCATGACAAAAAATGGTTCTAAGCAGAATGATCAAATCTGTGATTAGTGAGTGAATACACCAAGTTGTTAAGGTGTCGAGGTCAATGACGAAGTCGTCCTGAAGATGTACGACTGTGTGTGAAGCAGTAAAAACAGGAGTCTGGGACACGGAGGTTTGGAGCCTTTGTTTGAAATGTGAACTCTCTTCTCCAAACCTGATCAAGTATCTCAAGGAAAAAGCTGCTCAGGGAAATAAATGCCACTTAGGCCTCAGCACAGAGACGCCGTTGTCCACTCCATAAAGGTCTTTAGAGGTAGCTGAGAAGAAAGTTCCCTTTTACACCTAGGTTTTAAACCATACGTATCTAACGTATCTATCATACGTGCCAGCCATGTTATAGGATAGAGAAGGAAGAATGACGATAGAAGATCACTAAGTAAAAGATGGAGACATCAAGAATGGACTTTTGTTAACATGTACACTCAGTCATTTTGGAGAAGCAGGATATTGGGCTGCTAGTGTTCACATTAATATTCCCTGAAGTGTAATTCAGGCTCCTCTGGCATCCTGTCGGTTTGAGGCACACTTGAACTTAGCCTTTAAAGTATAGCTGTGGTCAGGAACATGACACATGACTCTGTGTTTCCATGACATCAAACAAGAATTCTACAGTTTTTCCAGTTTAAAAAATAAAATAAAATAAAAATAATGACATAAATATAGTTTGAAAACATTACAACCGTTGGACTACTTTTCAGGAATAATTTTTTGGACTGACAACCTGTTGACTTACATCCAAATTTTTGAAATTGAATTTTAACTGAGCTTTGTTTCACTGTAACTCCTCATCTTTTCTGTGCTCCTTGAAAGGATTGTGAAGAGGGCAAAAAGAAGCATTCCTTTTAGAAAGAAAAACATTTGGTTCGTATCCAAGAGCATTCTTCACTATATTTTTTAAAGGCGGTCACATAGGCCTGTAGTTTTGGCAGTGCGTGGTCACAGCTATTGTTGCTTAACTTCTCTACACTTATCCAACAAGCAGAAGAGAGAGAGGCTCCGTTCTGGTGGTCAGAGATCAGATGAGGCTGCCTACAGTGACAGTAACCACATGTTCCTTTTTGTCCAAACACACCACCCTTTGAAAGGTACGGCACCGGTGGTGGTCCCATCCAGCCTCAGCCATTCATGACACAATAGGATAAACCAATATAATGCGGGGGGGAATTTCCCTTTTCTGTACATAAGCACCATAAAAGGCAAGGTTCCTACCGTATTAGTACCACGACCAAATGATAAGAGATGAACAGTTTCCGGGCAGGAAAAGTACACGGTTCACTCAGATGATCATGTTTGTCCAGATGTACTGTATATTTGGTTGGATGAAGACCAAAGACAGACTTTCTACTGATCTGAGGGAAAGGTTGTTTTTTTTTTTTTGCAAGGGTGGGGTTCGAGGGGGCGCACTTTTTTGTTATTAAACATGTTTTTAATACTTTGTCTGAATTTTTAAGGGACTCCGATAAAGGTAATAGATGGATCTGAAACTTATCAAACATACAATCAAACTTTACTTCCTTCCAGATGTTAGAACTGCATTAGGTGAAGTTTACATACTGCTTGAAGGACCAGAAGTGAACTGGTACAGTATGAGATTGATTCAAATGTTGAATTAAAGTGATCACCTCTTTGGTTTGATAAATATCTGCAACAACGTTTTGAGTACTTTGAGGATCCAGTCTTTATGAAATCATCCACTACGCTGATGACACAACGCTATAATCGCATGGTTATAGTTCACACTTCAAACTAATTAATGAGACAGGGAGGCTGTTTTTTTCTGTTTTTGGGTAAAGTCTCCTCCCACCCGTTCAAAACATCAAATTGTTGACTGATTAATCAGTGATTGACTGAATGATGCTTAAAAACCACAGCCAAATGCATTAGCTGGGTTGTAGACGTACACAAGTTTTAATTCTATTCTGTTTTTCTTTACTATTTCTTTACTTTAGTAACACGGTCTTTAGAAACCATTTCTGTACTAAAAAAAAATCAGACTGATTTTTCAGAATTATTCTACAAAACAATTCTAGGAAAACTGACCATAATGCACCTTTGAAACACTAAACTGGTTTCTTTTGTATATAAAATGTTTGACATGACTGGTTTACAATGCAACAAAGCATTGAGACCTCCCAGGGTCATCAAGTGAACCTAATGTTCTCAAAATTCAGAACTAAGCCAGGAAAAACAGCAATCTGCATCCTGTAGAATCTGGGCAGTGCATCTTTCATAATTTTTCACGATATCATGGTTGTGTGAAGATGTATGAAGTGCAAACGACAGGTACAAATATGGATGCTCGGTGGAAAAGGACTCAGTATTTGGTCCGAGCTCCAGTCAGGGTGGTCTGGGACACAGAGTTTATGTTACATTCAAACATGAGCTCCCTTGGCGTCTGTGCAGTGTCACTGGGATGATGCTGTGCTGGGATTATCACTTAAACAAAAGCTACGATGGTTGGTCATTATTGGGTAAAAAGACAAACGTGGACCTCTTTTCCCTCCCTAAAATCAGTAGATTCATGAAGTGGGTTCCATTCAGCTGATTTATATCTGTATAGTTTAAACATGGCCAACCATTTTCACCTATATTCATTTGTTTAAGTTCTCTCTTTAAAGAAGCCGCCGACAGAACATGGACGTGTTTTCACAATTGATAACTGAAGTTTCTGTCGGCCCACAGTCATTGACCAAATATGGGGTCCAGGAGCCGCTCCAGGAGAGGAACATACATCATCCCTCACCTGGTACAAAAGGAGACCACCATAGTTTCAGTTGTTTATTAGTTATTTGGTGGCCCACATGAGATTAACGCAATCACTAGATAATATATATATATATACAGTAAAAGATAAAACATTTTTGTGTCATTTTGGCAAAACGCTTAACGTTACATCTCTCCTAATAATGCATGTCCAATGTGACTGTGTGTTTGACTTGGAACCAAGCAAACTATTCCAACTGGAGGCTCGGGGGTCAAATCTGGCCCACCGATCTCTTCACTCCAGCCTGCAACTGGATTCTAAAATAAACATGACAATAATGTTAGACAAAAAAATGTTTTGTCATTATATTTGAGTGTACCGCCCCCCACGGTGTCAGTACAGAAAAAATCTTATTTTCACACTGAAGGCCACAAGAGGGCACTGGTGCAAATTTTGAAGTCAGATCTACAGAAAATATTTTATGGGCATTTATGTTTAAAATGTTGATAAGTGACGAGTCTAAATGTAATTTGTTACTTAGCAACAGTTAATTGTTTAGTTAGAATTATGTGTTACTAAAATAAAAAAAAAATCTCATTTTAATTCAAATAAAAAAATCTCAAATGATATACAATTTCTATTTGATATCATTCCAGATATGCAGAACATTTTCCTCAGTCCCCCACAATTCTGGCTCAACAGAAAGTGTTGCCGCTGTTTTTTTGGCATCTTTTGTGAGTGAGTCAAATATATAGACACACTCCAGACACACTGCTGTAACACTCTTCTTCAGAGTGTAAAGTAAACAGAGCCTGTCTGGACACAGGCACATAGTGAAGAAAAAGGGAGAGAATCAAATAACGATTTATAAATAAAACCAAATAGCTTTTTTAAGCAAATTAAAAAATATTGAGTAAAACCAACTGAGAAAAAAAATGATGACGACCTGTATAATAAATATAAATATTAGTCTTTTATTTATCCCATGATCGGGAAATTGATGGTGCAAGTCTTTGCAACTCACTCAGGCTGCCACCAGTGGCGGCATTGAGTATGCCGTTCACTGGGGCTCGAACCCAGGCGTGCAAAGGAAGGAAAGTGAACTCCTTGTCACTGTGACACAGCTCACCACTGCACACAACCAAATGTGACCTCTGCTTTAACCCATCACCAAAGTGAACAGTGGGCAGCTTTGGGGAGCAGTGTGTGGGGACGGTGCCATGCTCAGAGCACCTCAGTGGTAACTTGGCAGCTGCTGGACTCAACCTTCTGGTCCCAAGTACGCTCACCACACACAGTAGCTACCACTGCCCAGGTGTGATAAAGGCTTCACTATGAAACAAAATATAAATAAATGTCACAATTCATTACTTATATCACATTACGTTACAGAAATATATGCTACATATTAAAAAAAATGTTTACATCAGTGCTAAAATAATACAGATGTAAGGATGGTGATGATAGGATAAATTAAATTAAAACATTGACTTTAAAATCATAATCCAGTTCGGGTTCTCGTGGGACCGACACACAAATACTGGCTGGGAAATGACAGGCCTGGAAAACCACACATTGTCACTCTCTGCTCAAGACATTAACGCT